TTGCGTCAGGAAGGGCATCCGGTGTAAAACACGTGCCAAATGTCAACATGCAAGTCATCAGTGTGACGATTCGCTGTGGCGACCCCTAAATGGGGAAAGCCGAAAGTGAATTTCTATATGTAAGTCAGCTATGGCAGTTACTGTCATACTAGACAGGAAAACTTGATCCCTTTCTGTATTTCTGCTGTATTTTTATGCTATTATTAAGGGATAGGTACAGAGCTTTTCAAGTCCAACAAACTTCTCGGCCTACCTCCCACAATGTCTAGTGGCAGACACACCATGTAAAAGTGAAGAGAAACTGTTTTTAGTGTTCTCATTGTGTACGTGTGTTGTTATCTACCTTCCAGTAGATGTTTGAGGTCCCACAGGACAGAGTAGTGCTCACGGCGGATAGCCAGGAACACCACACTGGCTTTCCCAACAGCGTCTTCGTGGTGCGTCACATCCACCACGTGTGGAAATGTTGGGATGGCGGCTGCCCACCACCACATGGAAGCCACAGCGCAGCAGGCGGATGGTCAGGCACTTAGAGAAGTCGCCTGAGCCCAGGATGGCCACTGTGGGCTGAGTAGGCAGACAGGAGGTGCCTGCATCTCCAAAGCCGTTCTTTGTGCCATTTGGCAGAAAACAGGCCTGGGTGTGGTGGAGGTGATGGGGGGAGGAGGAGGAGGAGGCTGTGAGGAACACAGGGCTCCTACCACTGCTCATCATAGAGATGGAGTCCATCCTTCCTTCCTGTCACTTCTATAATTTTCTGCTTAGGATGTTTTATTGAATCTAATGGAGATAAGAAGAAAGAAAGAGAGGGCCAGAAGTAAAGCAGGATTATTTGATTAGGTTTACTTAATTAACTATTAATTAATAATGTCTTACGCATGATCACAGGAAGAATGACTATGTGTCAGCTTGGGCCACGAGTTGTTTTCTTATATCAGGAAGAATGAAATCAAACCTACAGCAGCCTGTAATGGGTGCTACCAATGCTTACATTTTATGCTTTCATTTGTTGAGAGAGGAGGGCAATTCACATTTTTTTAACATCCAGGGAGAAGCTTATGATCAAGCCAAAATGGAAAAAACATAGTGTAACTGAGGAGTTTTTTTGTTTGTTTGTTTGTTTAGGACCTGAGCAGTGTTCAGGAGCTGGATACATGTCTCTTACAAACATGAATGCGAACAATCAATGCAAAAATATAAGCTCTGACATAAAGATCAGAATTGAGCATTAAGGCCTGTAATGTGAATGTAGCCTATGGGTGCCCGGTTGTGACATATAGTAAAAAAGGCGGCCTCCAGTCCAAAGCTGGCATTAACTGAATAACAAATCCTGGCTCTACGGCAGCACTGCAGCGGTACAATGTCAAGTGACGAGGCTGGCAGCTGAGTGATCTTTAATACACTGTTTATACATTTGGCTGATTGTAGAGGATGTATTTACTAAGACATGTCTGTTTTGAAACAGTGTAACGTGTAGCTGGCTGTTTGGAACGACTACTGGCGATTTTGAACAACGATTATTATAACCTTGGCTGGGTGGCAGTTGCGGCTGTGGACCGTTCTGTGACTGTGTGTGCACAGGCATCCTGTGTGCACCTGTAGCGCAGCAGCACGGCCGCTGGTGCTCTGCCATGGAGCTGAACAACACACACACTAGACAGCTGACGCTGGCACACATTGACCGAATCAGATATGAACGCTAACAGTCACACTTCGTGCAATGATATGTTGCCTACCTGTCATTCGGAGGGATGCTACGATGAAGACGCAGACCAGCTGCTAGCTCCACATCCTGCTCCTGATGGTTCTCAGCCTCCACTGTCTCAACACGTGCTGCATTCAATTGGTGTCGGAGAAATCACTTTCATCTGAAAATTACTCACACACAAAAACTAATTGTTGTCATTTTTTACATTACGTTTTTGAGTTGGATAACCACCATTGTTCTTATTTCTAACTTAAAGAAATAAGGTCAATATAAATAATTTAATAAACATTATCTGCTGCTTACATGGTTAAGATAGTTTATTCAGATAATTAACCTAGCTAAAATGCTTTGAGGGCAAGAAAAGCTACATTAATACACATATCTATATTATTAATATAACCTAAATATATCACAACATTAGTACAAAGTATTCTACAGATTTGTTGTGTAAGAAAAAAAAAAAA